GGGCAGTCGGTGCTGGGCGCGGCGGCAGCGCGGTGACCTTCTCCCTTGTGACTGTCCCCAGGCTGGTTCAGGGACAGACCTTTGTCATGGGGCCAACGGCTGCTCTCTTCCTTCTCCTCATGCTCGGCGCCTCGGAGGCCAAGCGCACCGCAGGTAAGACCAGCTCTGTCCTCTGGAGCCGGTGGTTTGGGTACTCGGAGCAGTTGGGGAAGGGGAAAAAAAAAAAACACCCCCCAAAAAACCTGTTCTGGGTGTCTGTGCAGGAGGCTGGAATTGTGCTCAGTGGTGAAGGGGCTCCAAAGTTTTCAATGAATAAAAACTTTTGAACTTGAGCATCAGCTAGAGCAGGAAACTTTCTCCAGTGTGGAATTCGTGTAACTTTCAGAAACAGAAGCGCAGTGTCTCCAGGACTTGGGAGCGTTAGGTTGTCCACCTCTGTGCTGGGCAGAGGAAAGGGGCGACGTGGTGTAGGAACTGGCTGAAGGAGTCGGGCAGTAGGCTGCTGTGGTGTTTGCTGTCACCCTGCCGGACTAAGCAGGCTCACTTTTGCTGTGTCCTAGCATAGGAATGTTGCAGTCTGGGCTTCTCCTGTCTGTTTCTCCTCTGCCAAAGCCTAATGAGGTGCCAGAACGGCTGCTACCTCTGTGTGTCAGTCAGCGGGTACCTGGCACTCCTGTGCCGACTGGCTCCTGTACAAGAATGCACATGTACTGCTGTGCAGCAGCTCCTGGTGGGACTGCCGTACCGGCGGAGCTACTGTCTGCACTCTCTTGTGAGGTGCTGTACCTTGCACGATACGAGCCAACGTGTTAAGCAATCCTGGGAGGTACGCACCTATTCAGCCTCTTCTTGTCCCTTGCTCATGATGCTTCTTCCGATCTCTCTGCAGAGTCCAGGAGTGATGATAACAGTGTCTTCGATCTCTTTGAACTCATCGGCTTCATTCGCAAGGGAGGTGGGCGCCGGGCACCCGGGGTCTACCTGGTGAAGGGACCAGAATCCTCCAGCCCAGCTTACCGCATTGAAGATGCCAGTCGCATCCCTGCTGTCCCTGACTCCAAGTTCCAAGACTTACTAGATGCCATCCATGCTGAGAAGGGCTTCATCCTCTTGGCCACTCTCCGGCAAGCCAAGAAGAGTAGAGGCACGCTGCTGTCCGTGGAACAGAAAGATGGCTCTGGTCATGTCTTCAGTCTAGTATCGAATGGCAAGGCAGGCACTCTGGACCTGAGCCTCTCTGGTGACGGCAAGCAGCAACTGGTGTCAGTAGAGGATGCCTTGCTAGCTACAGGACACTGGAAGAACATCACCCTGTTTGTGCAGGAGGACCGGGCTCAGCTCTATGTGGGGTGTGAGAAAATGGAGAATGCTGAACTGGACATCCCCATCCAGAACATCTTCACGAGGGACCTGGCCAGCAGTGCCAGGCTCCGTATCGCCAAAGGGGGAGTCAATGACAACTTCCAGGTAAGAATTTTGCTTACATTTTTTCCTAGTATTTTCAGTCATCTGCCTTGAAGGTACATTAGCTCCTCAACCGGCCTAAATAGCTACAAAGCGATGGGTAACAGGCAAAAAGGGTTCCACCACTGACTAGTTTGTGTACATCTGATATGGACCACCTCTAAATCTGATAAACTTTAATAATGGAATTTGAAGGGTGAAGAATTAGATTTGCAGGGATAGAACCTTCTGCAGCAATAGGCAGCACTGAAGCTAGTTGTAGCTTCACCGCTCAGCTTCTTATATGAGATTCAGAAATCCATGGGGTTCTGCCGTCCTGCCTGGAGAGTTGCCAGGTCCTTGTGGTCAAGGATGAGAACGTTAGGAAGCGGGGCTTGTTATCATTAATGTGAATAAAGCAACATGTTTCACTTTGCCATCTGTCTGTCGCAAAATTACTTTTAATGATCGTATGTGACCTTAAGTGCCTACAAGTTGTCTCCATGCGAGTTGTACTTCTTTCCGTTGCAGTCACTGCGAGTAGCTGTAATTCTTCCTCTGTCCACAGGGACTGCTGCAGAATGTGCGGTTTGTGTTTGGAACAACTCTGGAAACTATCCTGAGGAACAAAGGCTGCTCCAGCTGTAAGTTTGCAATCTTCTGAATCCAATGACCTATTAAAAATAAGATTCCTCGTTACGTTAGAAAGACAAGTTGAAACAGAACTCACAAATATGCTGACATGCAAATCCACGTTGCATAAGGAATAAGATTACATTTCTGCAGGCACCTTAATGAATCTGGTGGCAGCTGTTTAGCAGGTGTTACCCTGGAATGATAAATGCACGTGGTAAAAAATGCATTTACTTTATGTGTGTTTTTGTCTCTTAGCCACGAGTGCGATCATTACTTTGGACAACCCCATCAATGGTTCCAGCCCAGCTATCCGCACTAATTACATTGGCCATAAAACAAAGGACATCCAAGCAGTCTGTGGTTTTTCCTGTGATGAACTAACAAATATGTTTGTGGAACTGCAAGGGCTCCGGTCCATGGTTACAACACTTCAAGACAGAGTTCGCAAAGTGGTGAGTGTTGGCTAAATTCATGGCACCTGTCATTAACTGGCACTTAATGAATGAATTATAACCTGCCCTGTGAGAGCCTGGATAAACAGTAGTAACTTTACTCTGACTTCTGTGGAAAAGGGTGCTTTCTGTATTAACTTATAAATACCTTCTCTCTACTTCTCTCCCCCGCCTCCTCTTCCCACACCTTCCCCTTAAGACTGAAGAAAATGAACTGATTGCAAAAGTGGTCCAGATCACTCCTGGAGTATGCATTCACAATGGAATCTTGCACAAAAATAAAGAAGAGTGGACTATTGACAGCTGCACTGAATGTACCTGCCAGGTAAGATTCCTCACGTTCATAAATCCTCTGTGTATAAATTCATGAGTTGAAATTAACAGATATTTCTAAATGCCATTCATTGTTAGCAAGAGTGAATCCTGCACAGAACTGAGCATACTGCAGTAGCCAGACAATTATTCAGTTTATTTCATCCTAGTAGATCTCTGGTATAAATGCAGCTTTCATAGAATGTTACAACAGCAGTATTTCAGCAAATTATACAAACCATCACTCTGATACAGCTGTTAACACGCTTTTAGTTCCTTAATTTGGGGAATGCCTGTATTCTTTACATAAGTTCATGAGTAAACTAAAAGTTGGCATCAACAGAACAAATTTATAGTACTATCAGCTTTGCTCTCTGGAATAGTTTAGATCCACCTTCTGTCCTCACTGACCCTCCTGCTGGCTTAGTAGGAAAAGACATTCTAGTAGTTGGTAAAGGCTCTTAACAAACTTATACGGTTTTTATTCATCTATCATACTTCTGTGTCCTATGACCTGTTATAGATTATAAGGAACAGCAATCCTTTCCAGGTTTCAGTTTAGCTGTTTAAATCTCAGGATCACCTGGCAAGTTATTTAGGCTTTGTGTTCCACTTCTGTGGAATGTTGTAAAAGTACACCAGAATATACAGTTTCAGGGTTTCTTTGAACTCCTTGCTTGCTCCTTTTAACTGTAAGTATACCTTAGCAAAAGCATCTGGGAGTACCAGTGTACCAAGGAGCGGGTTAACTAGCCTGCCTCTGTTTAGAAACTAAAGGCCGAGTATTTGAACGTGTGCAATCCAAGGCATCTCACCGAGTTCTGCGTCTACTTCTATAGGTCTACATCTTTTGTCTTGCAGTCAGCAAATGATATGGTGACTTCTGCATTTGCCTCTTTCCTACCAACCCTCTTACTCAATGTTAGCTGTAATTGTCTTAATGTGGTCATTTGCTTGGGGAGATAAAAATAGAAATCATGAGAGCATTCTTCTGACCAAGCTGCTACCTTCTAGAAGCAAAACTAAGGGCTGCCCTTTAGCTCTCATTGAGATTGAAGGTGGGTGTTCTTACCCTGCCTGCTTGGCTTAAAGATCAAAGGCTTCTAAGTATAAGTTATAGATTTCATGGCTCTTGAGCAGAGTCCACTAAACTCATTTTATCTTTACCATATAATCAGCTTAAATCCATATTAACTGAAACGAAAGTTGGCTTCTCTCTCATTCTTGTTTCATTCCTTTGAAGTCTGACCTTATACTTTGGGTATCACGTGATAGTCTTTTACTCTAGCCAGCATCTGGTAGCTACTCTTGATCAACTTGTGCAAAACCAAAATACTTGCACTCTTGACTGAAGAAAAAAAAAATATGGGTGGGAATGGGAATGAGATGAAGTTTGACTAAAAATACCTGGGACTACCCTTGGGTTGGATTAGCTCTAAATACAAGGGCCTCTGCTTTAGATGTGCTATTGAGTCTTTAAGTGCTCCAGTCTCTTTATCATTTAACCAGACTCCAGACATTGTTTATATTCCACTTGCTGATTACAATCCTCACAATTCTTTATAGAACTCTGCCACCATATGCCGGAAAGTGTCCTGTCCTCTCATGCCTTGTTCCAATGCCACCGTGCCTGATGGGGAGTGCTGCCCCCGATGCTGGCGTAAGTACTTAATAATACCTTCACACCTCTGTAGCAGTTGGCTTCATCTAGCTAGACACATGGTGCTCTAAAGTACACCACAACTGGATTTAATCTTGCACCACTGGAATAAGGTTAGCCTGATGCCTCTTTGAGGTTAACCACTTAGGGGATGCATGTGAGCACTGAAACATTTGAGTTCACGGCCTTTATCTTGTACAAGAAAGGAAAATGCATGTGGCTTTTGAGGGCAGTTGTGTCCTTTTTAGTGAAGAGAAGGATGGGATAAACTATGGAAAAACACATACCTGGAGTCTTATTCAGAGCTGTGTCCCTCTGCAGCTAGCGACTACGCAGATGATGGATGGTCTCCTTGGTCTGAATGGACTTCATGTTCTGTGACCTGTGGGAATGGGATTCAGCAGAGAGGGAGATCCTGTGACAGTCTCAATAACCGCTGCGAAGGGTCTTCTGTACAAACTCGGACTTGCCACCTTCAGGAGTGCGATAAGAGATGTAAGTACTTAATCTACTCTCACTGGTAATAAAACACAGGACACTTTTGTTGGCTTAATGTTAATAGCAAAGATTGCTGTGTAGCTCTGTCACTGGGATGGAGCATTGGCTTCTAGCTTTAAGGACTTATATTAATCAGGTAAAGGGGAGCAGACAGTGCAGTAAATAAGCATGTGTGGGCACTGCTTGCAGAACAAAATGTGAGGCCTGTTTAGATATGCAATTTCTCTAGTAACAAAATAACTTGATCTGTGACAGTGCTGAGGCTATCCAATACATCTGGAGTCTTTGGTACCGTTCTGGTACTGGCTATGTTCTAGGTGCTGTGCAGCTGAAGTCTGTTCTTCAGAAGCTCTATTAATAACAGACATCTTTCTCCTGCAGTTAAACAGGATGGTGGCTGGAGTCACTGGTCACCATGGTCATCATGTTCTGTCACTTGTGGCACGGGCATCATCACTAGAATTCGTCTCTGCAACTCTCCAGTACCACAGCTGAATGGCAAACCTTGTGAGGGCGAGGCGAGAGAAAACAAATCCTGCCAGAAAGATCCTTGCCCAAGTAAGTGTGTCCAGGTGGTAACTACTATTTGGTAGCTTAAACAGTGAAATTCCTGAGTAGTTGCTATATAATCTATTTCTAGTAATCTCTCTTTAAACTTAGATGTGGGCTAGGTAAAACCTCACAGGTTAGTTTCAGAAGGAACTAAACTGCTTTCTATGGCTCTTCCATGGAGTCCATTAATCCTGTCATTTATGTCCAAACTATGTCTGAAGTGTTCTTACTACAAAAGTAACTGTCACTAGTAACGTAGAAACTAGTACCACTGAATTTAAAGTTATACATGTCTTCTAACTTCTGTCTCCCTTTAGTTAATGGCAACTGGGGACCATGGTCTCCATGGGATGCTTGCACAGTGACATGTGGAGGAGGACTTCAAAAACGTAGCCGTCTCTGCAATAACCCTGAGCCTCAGTATGGTGGGAAGACTTGCGTAGGTGAAGCTAAAGGGACTCAGGTCTGCAACAAACAGGACTGTCCAATTGGTGAGTATCCATTTTCCCATAAATATCTGAAGATTGTGGACAATCTTGAAAATACTGATTAAGAAATTTGATGTGTATCCGTAAAACATGAGTGTTAGAATTTGAAACCGGCATATCAGCCAAATACAGTACTGTAGCAGCATGATAAGCGTCTCATCTTAACACTTTCTCATTTGTTTTTTCAGATGGATGTCTGTCCAATCCTTGCTTTGCGGGGACTACATGTACCAGTTCCCCTGATGGTTCCTGGAAGTGTGGTGCCTGTCCTGCTGGCTACCATGGTGATGGTATCCACTGCCAAGATATTGATGAGGTAAGAAGACTAGAGTTTGCTCCTTGAAGGGGCGTGAAAGAAAACAGGAAGGGAGAATAAAATCCCAGTGTTTTATAACACTAACTGTTGTTCTCCTCTATCTCAAACTTGTATTTCAGTGCAAAGAGGTTCCTGATGCCTGCTTTGTCTTCAACGGAGTGCACAGGTGTGAGAATACTGAACCTGGGTACAACTGTCTGCCTTGTCCACCACGTTTCACTGGGACACAGCCATTTGGTCGCAGTGTTGAGGATGCCATGGCTAACAAACAGGTATTGTCCACTTGAGAACTGTTTTCGGTTATGAAATCTCCCAAAGTTTCTAAACAACAGAAAGCACCCATGCATTTTGGGGAAGAAGGACTCGATACATTTAATAGAACACCATCCTCTCTGATTCAGAACAGGAGGAGCATTAAGCAGTTCCTACTGAAGTTCAAAATGAGTTGTAAAAATCACTGTGCTCCTCAGCCATAGAGGACTCAGATGTTATATGTAATTTTAGGAGAGTAATTTAATCAGCATTCACTTATGATCCTACAATATATGCCTTAGAGATATTTTAGTGCTTGGTTCCATGTGAAAATTAATAAGATTTGAGCAAGAAAAAACAGTAATTGGTGCTAAGACTGCTACTCAAGTTGGAGTGGAAGAAAGTAATGTATGAGTCTCTTCTTATTTTTTCCAATTGAAGGATCTCTGATCAAAACAAGCACATATTCTCCATGTTTTATGTCAATCTCTGGGGAAAAATGAGGGATAAAAGATGTTTTCAGTGGATTTCATTTCTGTGTGGTCTCCTAGGTATGCAAGCCACGTAATCCATGCACAGATGGAACACATGACTGCAACAAGAATGCCAAATGCAATTACCTTGGCCACTTCAGTGACCCCATGTATCGCTGTGAATGTAAACCAGGCTATGCTGGCAATGGCATAATCTGTGGAGAAGATACTGACTTGGATGGATGGCCAAATGAGAACCTCGTTTGTGTTGCCAATGCCACTTACCACTGTAAAAAAGTAAGTTTTTCCTGTTTTCCCATCTACCACAATAACAGCCTGAGAAATATAGCAAGTTTCCATCTAGTTAGAACCATTAAACTATCCTCTCTAGTTAGAACCATTAAACTATCCTCTCTGCAAATAAAACTGGTAAAATACCCCTCTGTGTAAGGATACCACTGTCAAAGTATTGCTAGGAGGCTCTTGCTGTTGCTGTAGGTATTCCTGCAGTAGGGGGGGGAAAATGAAGCCTGACACAATTACGAATGTTTGCTATAAATGTTCTAGGAAGAATCTAGTTTAGGCCATACCTATATCAGCTTTGCTCTGACAAATATCTATCCCCAGGGGAAGAAAAAGAGGGTGAGATTCTCAAAAGCAGCTGAATCTTTGTTCTAAAAATTATTTGAGATGTGGCTTTCTAAGACTTATCCTCACAGTAATGACTAGCTAAAATTGAGTGAACTACAGTAAGATAACACCTACCTGATGGAGATCCTATGACTTTTTTTTCCAAATGAATAGACCTTACCTGCTAAAATCCCTATTGTAATCATGCCAGGAGTAAATACATCTGTGTCCTTTGTCCTTTTTAGGATAACTGCCCTAATCTGCCCAACTCTGGGCAAGAAGACTACGATAAGGATGGGATTGGTGATGCCTGTGACCATGGGTAAGACAACACAAAAGAAAAGCCTTTGAGAATGTAGCTCTCCCCTTCCTAAGGCTGGGGTCTAGCTTCTGACCTTAATCTTAAGAGAAGACCATAGGAAATTGCTGGTACTGACAGCTATCCTAGAAACCTTTAGATATACATAACTATGCAGACAAACTTTCTGCAGCTGGTTAAGCTTTGGAAGTGAACCTTCATTTTTATTCAGCCATTCCTACACTCATGCAGGCAATGGGGTGTTTTGAGATAGAAGCATTCCAGTTTTAACTGCTTCCCTGCCTTTCATTTCTCCTTTCATATAGTGGTACAAGCATAAGCAGAATCTGTTTTAAGCTTTAATTTGACTCTTTTTAAAGCTTGACTTCTTTCTTGCTCTTGCAGGACAACTGTCCATTCATCTACAACCCACAGCAGTATGACTATGACAGGGATGATGTTGGTGACCGCTGTGATAACTGCCCCTACAACCACAACCCTGATCAAACTGACACTGACAACAATGGAGAAGGAGATGCATGTGCAGTGGATATTGATGGAGATGGTGGGTGGCCTCTAATTACTCCTTTAGATAGTTTTCTAATCGTGGATTGATCAAATGTGCCAAATATACCACCGATTTCCTACCACAATTTCATCCCTGAACACACAAAGGTTCTCCTGTGGTGGTTTCAGGGCATAAAGACTACTGAAGTAGCGTTTATAGCTAATGGAGATTCACTTTGAAATAGACACATTTTGGCACAGTTCAATTCTAGCTCTACTCTCGCAGGCAGTAGGAACAGAAGCATGTGGCAGAGCTAGTGAAAGCTTTGAAACTTGACTCCTCAAGTGCTGTTCAAAATGCTTTCAGAAGTTTATTAGGAAGTATGTGCTGGCTTTATAGTCTTTTGCAGAATTTAGATGTTTGACTTCCATTCATGAACTTTCTTTAATTTTGCAGGGGTCCTTAATGAAAGGGACAACTGCCAATATGTCTACAATGTAGACCAGAGGGACACAGACTTGGATGGTGTTGGAGATCAGTGTGATAACTGTCCACTGGAACACAATCCTGACCAGGTAGAGGATTTGCATTATATAAATAGAAGACTGATATTATAAAAATGTAATATATTAGGTATTGTAGAAAATATTTGAACAAGTTATGGCTTTCATTTGCCTTGTCACAAATCATTCTTATTAATTTGCCAAATGGTGCCTGTATCAAATAACATGCCCTCACAGTTCAAAGAGATGCCAGGTATTTTCTGAAAAGTAACTCTAGTTAAGATCTTTGAGACTACTGCGTGTACTTGTCTCCTGAACATTTCTTAGGTTTGTCAGTTGCAATGACTCTCATAGTAAGGATATGAAAATCTTGGGAGCATTGTATGAAATCTAGGTAGGTAGGAACTACCTACCAAGCCTGTAGGGCTGAGTTTACTTTAAAGCTGTTGCAAATCAATGGAATCCAGTGTAGTATGGTCATGTGGCCTAAAAGCAGCGTTACTTGAAGGATTTAAACAGATAGTACAAAATTTCTTAGCCTTTGTCACTTGCTTTACTACTTCCCCACCTTAGGGTGGAAAGTGCCTGAAGATCCTTTCAACTTTCTTCTCCATGACGTACAAGCAATGTTTCTTTTAATACTTTGAGATCTTAATATAAGTCTAAAGGTTTTTCAAACACTTTTCTAATCAAGTTCTAGAAGCAGCGATACTCATTCTGCCACTTGAAATCTAGTAACTATTCAAACTGTGTGGTATGCCTTCTGTCTACACTAACACCAGTGTTGTCCACCAGTCTTGACAAGACTAAGCCTTGAGGCAGCCTTAGGGATGACTGGATTGTTTTTCTTATTTTAGAAGGTGACTAAGCAAATGACTGGCTAAAATATGGAATCAGCAAGCACAGCAGTTCATGCAGCCTTTGACCACTAAGGGAGTAATTGTCTTGACTGATGAGTCAGGAGGCATGAAGAACATTATAGGCTTTTATGATAAAGAAAATTATGATATGGTATGGAAGGTGTAAAACGAAGACTTGATAGACTATGTTTAAATGTTACAGTCTGGGTACAGAGTGTTATTACCCTTATCTGGCCCTTGGAACCAGGGAGTTGCCAGAAAAGGTGGGAGGTAAAGTACCCTGAGTCCGGTATGGTAGGCTAGTGACAGAAGAGTCAGGTGGCAGAAGAGAGAAGAAGAGAAGCTGATGACCACACTTCTTTCTGCTGCTGTGAATTTAAATTAAAACCAGGGCAACATTAAAGCAGCCCAAAAGCAGTTATTGCAGGCAGCTTGAAGTAAGCATGCATTAATCCTAATACTTCACTACATCCATCTTAGCTCTTGCTAAAGCAAGCAGAAATCCTAATTGATTTAGCTATTAAGACTCCTATTTCAGCCTCTTTAAGTGGCTTTTTAAAATGTTCTTTATTTTCTTCCATTTTTTAGGAGGACACTGATTCTGACCGCATAGGTGATCAGTGCGACAATAACCAGGACATAGATGAAGATGGCCATCAAAATAACCTTGATAACTGCCCCTATGTGCCTAATGCCAATCAAGCTGACCATGACAAGGATGGAAAAGGTGATGCCTGTGACCATGATGATGACAATGATGGTATCCCTGATGACAAAGATAACTGCAGACTGGTTGCCAACCCAGATCAAGCTGATTCTGATGGTAAGATAACCCTTATCATAATATTTTAAGAGTATCTTCCGATAGCTTGATGCACTTTTTTCCACATTATTTAAGGTTGGACAAAACTTCCAAGAAACAAAAAGATAGAATGTCTGTACTGTTGTTATAGTGCTCCTCAGGAGTAATGAGCAATGTAAAAATGACCACATATCCAACTCATTCCTAAGTCATTATCAGGCTGGAGTGAATAGTCATTTATACAGTAGCTGTTGTGGCTTCTGTAGTGTGTCTGCCAGCAGTACCTGGGTAGTCAGAGATCTGCAATTAAGATTTCGACTCCCAAGTTGTAAGGCTTGGAAGCAAACAATGGTGATATAATGGTGAAATTACTTGTGTACTGCAGGTGATGGACGTGGAGATGCTTGCAAAGATGACTTTGACCAAGACAGTGTGCCAGACATTGATGATATCTGCCCTGAAAATGTGGACATTAGTGAGACTGATTTCCGACGATTTCAGATGATTCCCCTGGATCCCAAAGGAACATCCCAAAATGATCCAAACTGGGTGGTTCGTCACCAGGGTAAAGAACTGGTTCAGACAGTCAACTGTGACCCTGGTCTTGCAGTTGGTAAGGAGAAAATGTTACTGTTAGGTTTTTGGTTTGGGGCGGGGGGGGAGAGGGGCAGGGAAGGGAGAACCTGAGAAACTATTAAGGAGTTTAAGAACCACAAGAGAGCAGTGCCTAAAATTTTCTCCTTTAATGCCTCTGTAGGTTTTGACGAATTCAATGCTGTGGATTTCAGTGGCACCTTCTTCATCAATACAGAAAGGGATGATGATTATGCCGGCTTTGTATTTGGCTACCAGTCTAGCAGTCGTTTCTATGTTGTCATGTGGAAGCAGATCACCCAGTCTTACTGGGACTCCACACCAACCAAAGCTCAAGGCTACTCGGGTCTCTCCATCAAAGTTGTGAATTCCACCACTGGTCCAGGAGAACACCTTCGTAATGCTCTGTGGCACACAGGAAACACTCCTGGCCAGGTAAGAGTGGCACTCTAATAACCCACTCTTCTGCACATAGTCTTCTTGGCAAAGACCAATAACTTTATAATTATCCCCAGTCATTCAAAATACTGTATACAACTAACAGGATCGCATGCTGCAGACAGGCTTTCCAGCAGCAGTGAATCAATTGTTTCTGGAATTGTGGAGTAGTTTCCTATTTGTATATTTAAAAGTAAATTTAAATGCAGTTGATTTCAAAAGACCCCATTATGGAGCCTAGTGACTTACTTTAAGTCTTTACTAGTCATAGTGATGATTGTGAAGGCACCTTCACATCAAAATAATGCCTGTGTTATCTCAGGCCTTTGGTTAATAAAAAAAATACTCTTTCATAGGTGAGAACTCTGTGGCATGACCCTCGTCACATAGGCTGGAAAGACTTCACTGCATACAGATGGCGTCTTAGCCATAGACCAAAGACTGGTTATATCAGGTGAGCATCATCCTTTTATTTTAAGTAATTATCACAAGGAAAGTGGATGTCTGTAAAGATGAACCTAAGAGAAGCTTGTCAAAGATGGCTGACCTATTCTCTCTTTGTAGAGTTGTAATGTATGAAGGGAAGAAAATCATGGCAGACTCAGGACCCATCTATGATAAAACCTATGCTGGTGGTCGGCTAGGATTATTTGTCTTCTCTCAAGAAATGGTGTTCTTCTCAGATCTTAAATATGAATGCAGAGGTAAGGAAGACTTGAACCAATTCATTTATATGGGATCTCTTAAGAAAGCTGCTCTCAAGAAAAATAGAATGGATCAAGAAGTAAGAGCTAAGAGGAAAAGTTCACCCATGATCTTTCATGGCTTGATCTCAAGCGAGTTCTGCAGGCAGAAACAGGACACCTTCTTGATAAACTCTTCACAGTTTAAATGTATAAAATCTAGGTATATTTCTACCCTGTTATTTCAAAGTATCAGAAATCCATGTTAAGATATATTTTAAATCTGGGACTTGAATGTCCTTTAAAATGCTGATTAGAATGAAGCAACAAGCTGACAAACTCCCAGGTGAAAATGCAAAATAATGACTTCAGGGAGCAACACAGTAGTGTCCAACATGCGAAAAATTATTTCCTTTAAAAGCAAGCAAAGTAGAAAGTTGTCCATATATTGCACTCTTGCAGTTCAGTGGAGGTAAGTGCATATGAGTAGTCCCAGGTTCCTAGTCGTCTTAAATTATGACTTCATTATGTAATGGCTACGTAGACTAGATTCTGAAGTCAAACTCAAAATTACCTAAGCACTTTCAGTTTTCTTTACAAGTGTCTCTAGGGATTAATGTCTTAGACATTATCATGCATAATACACAGAAGTGTTTAAATACCTTAATTTTTTCTTTTTCACAGATCCATAATCACAAGTCATTGGATCCAGAGACTATTTAAAAATGCTGGTATTGCACCTTCTGAAACGTTTAGCCTTACAAATCCTGGGACCATTATATTATTCCTTCCTTTCTTCTTTCTGCATAAATGTGGACTCAAAACACATGACCTGCCTCAAGAGAATGCTTTTGAGAGAATGAAAGTGAGAACATACTTGCTATCTGACCTCTGCTGAAGTGGAAGGAACGAACGTGTCTTGCAAATGAGAATTGTCTTCACTGAACAAGCACACTTCTTTCAGTAGGAAAGACATTTGTTTGCTGTTTATCACAGTGCAGTGTCACTGCCTCTCTAACTGGAGGTCCCATGGAGTAGCATTTTGTAAAAAGAACATCTTTGGATGTGCTGTGGACTACTTAAACTGAAGACCTTTCATTGTGTGGGGAAAAGGGGTTTTGGGTGGGAGGGTGAACTTTAAGTCTTTTTTTCTTTATGGGGAGAGGAAGTTTTTTTAATGAGGGCTGCGCTACCTTGGTTTACATCTGTTTAACTTGGAGAAATTATTATTGTTCTATTTGTCGTATCTTTCAGATGAAAACACAGCCTTTTACTCTATTTGTGGTGAGCTAGATCAGCTGCTCTATTACACAGGACAAAACAGATATCCTAAAACTGATTTCCATGGTGGGAGGGGGAAGAGGATAAAAACTGGCACACTGGATCACACCAGCTTTGGAAGAACTGGGATTTACAATTGGATTCTGTTTTGTCCTGATTAGATGCAGATCTTTCTTACCTTTAGAAGTTTTCTTTCGGATATGGTGCCAGAAAGCACCGCCATCTCAGCTAGCACTGTGCTGTCCTTCAGGAAACCAGCATGTGCTTCACTTCTTATGGTTAAAAAGGCACAAAAACAGTAGTAATGAAAACATTCCTTTTCTACATGCCATAGATGCTTTAAACCCCTCACTTCTTTGGAGGGGAGGGGAAGGGGCCTGTAGATAAAATACTGAAATTGTAAAATATTTATTTTTACCTATCCTTGATGTTATAAGGACTGAGGGATTATTGATTGAAACAACAAGAAATGCGTCAAGACTATCCATCTAATCATTGTTACAAGTCTTCATGACTGTAAGATTGTAAATACAGATTATTTATTAACTCTTGTTCTATATTGAAACTAGAGGGGTTTTAGTTGAGGAAAAAAAAAAAAAACCAAACTTGTCTGGAGCAGATAATGCTGATGTATTTGTTACAAAGAACAATTTTCCCATAAAGGCTTTGAGGCACAGGGAAAAGTGGTGGGGTGGGGAATGGGATGTTTGTTTTTCTCAGTCTGAGCTCAGTGTTGGCTTTTCCTTCCTTTGTGCAAGGCAGTTGGTAGCCTGGCAGGCAACTGTTCTGCACTGCTAAAACTCAAGTCCCTTTAGATTGTAGCAGTTCCCATCTCCCACGTATAGTGCTAGAGATGAGGGAATGCCATTTACCATCTCAGTGGTTATTTAGTGCTGGGAACCATCTGCAGTGCTTTACCACTGGTCCGTGGGCCTGACGCAAAACCAGAATACCTGCCCCGAGGAGCCTGCAGAGAGAGAGACACGATGACTGTGAGTAGGAACCATTCAAACGGGCTGTTTGTGCCACTGCACACTAATTATTTTCACGAGCCATGTGCAGCTACAAAAGGAATTCTTCACGGACCGGACAGAATTTCAGGAGCTCCTTACAAAAGAGGGAGAGGGCTTGATGTACAGTAACAGAAGACTGTTTTCCCCAACAGAAGGGGGAGCATCCTTACACCTATAATACTTCCTTGTCTTTTCAAAAAAGGAAAAGAAATGAACACAGTGAAAGTTTTACGTACAAATATTACCTCATTGTTGTGTGACTGAGAAAAACCTTTGGATTAAGCAGAGTTCAAATGTCTAACAAACTTTAAAGCTACTGTAGTACTAAAGTTAATGCTGTACATACTCAAAATTTCTTTGCAGAAAATGTATTCCCAGTAAGGAAATGGCATTGGAAAAAAAAAATGTCAAAGACAATTTCTAATGTTGTGTTATATTTTTTTCCTGTCATCTTGTATACCATTGCTTGTATTTTTATAAATTATTTTTCTCATTGCCATTGTAATAGTTAATCACATAATGTGTAGATACGCTATTTAAATAATTTATCATGAAATGCTACCTGTAGCGTTAGTATTTCTATTTTTATAAAATGTTTGCACACTGAATGGAAGATTTTTTTTTTTGCTTCCCTCCTCCCAATGTTTTTGCTAGCATAATTTTCTAAGAACATGCTTTTTTGTAAACATTTTTAACCATTTTCCATTTTAAAGTTGTGTAAGTTGTACAATAAAGCTTCTTACATACAAAGAACAATAAACCAACAAGGACATTTATATTTACACCTTTGTGCTCTAGTTTTATGTTTTGTAATACTTCTGTGGATCACTGATATGCTAACACATAGCTCTATTATTCATGTCAAATTGGGCTTCAATGTAAGACATCTCTACAATCTTTAAATTAAAACTATGACGAGAGGATGCAGCTGAGCTTTCACCCCAGGTATGACAGCTTGTCCCCCTGAAGGCAGTTCTGCAGTCAGGTAGCGGGGACAGCTGGCACATTTCATTCTGAAGGCTTCACTGGAGGCTTCTGTTACGTGTAGACGCAGCCATGCTGCCCTTGATGAAGCCACAGGGCAAAACGGTCTCTGAGAGGAATTTCAGAGCTGCCCCCTCCTTCTTTCTTTCACATGAGGAGGCAGCAGGACGACTATATCTGCAGGGGCAGAGGAGCATCTGTCAATATCCTTTCTAGACTGAAACTGCTGGTGTAATCCAAAAGCTGATGATGTGGCACAATATCAACTGCTGCAACATGATGCTAAAAATAGGAGCAGTAAAGACGAGTTGCTCAGTCTTTACTTAGAGCAGCAGTTTGTCCCATGAGCCCTTTAGCAAAGCCAGGTGTGACATTAGGAGTGCATGACAGCCACGAGAAGTGTATTTATGGGGTCCTGTAGGTATACAAGATGAAGCCTTACATCTCCTTTTCCTGAGGATGAAGACTCTTGTTCTATGAAGTTTTTTTCCTATTTTTCTGTAACTAAACCATTGAGGACAGCCCTGTACATTTTATTTTATCCCACTGAAGACAGGGAGAAAAGAGACAAAGAACTCCGGACCTGTTGCTTCCAAAACATGAGTGGCTGCTGAATTTCTGCCCTTGCTGGTTACAGGATTGTCTGCTTCACGTGTCCGGAGAGAGACACGGTAGCATCTCATGGGAGTGCACCCTCAGTGAAACCCATCAGACCTTATCTGGGCCTGCTGTACCAAATGTCCTACAGTTCTGGTCTCAAACTGCCTTCTTGCCTCCCAGGGGCACCAAGTACTACAAAAACATGGAGAAATCTCTTTGCTGTACTTGCGGGAAGAATGAGATACTCTGGATTTAGAAAGTCAATTAGCTGTGTGAACACATATATCTATGTATGGATTTATGTAGATAGAAGTTTAAAAAATAGACCTGCTGCTGCTGTGAGGGAAGGCAGCCTTGGCAGCCCATTCCAATGACCTTGTCTGAGTCCAAGCCCAACTTACATGCTCATTTATTGCATGCATTTATGTAGCTTATAGCAGTGTAGTATCTGAATTGGGGCTGATACATGCCTTAGAATAATAAAGGCAAGCCATATGCCTTGCGTTAACCCACAGGTTAAGTCCACCCACTTGTTGCTTGGGGAGTGTGAATACAATAGGACCCAAGAAAGAGCTACAGATGAGATAAGTTAGGCCTGTACTTGCCCAAAGAAACAACTGTCAAAGAAAAACTAAACAGGAAGAGGATGGAAAACGGCCACATTCCACAGGGCAAAAACTCCGCAGGTGAAGCCTGCGGGAAATACGTTGTTCCCAGCTCCCTGGAGGCTCAGCAGTGGGACTCGTAAGTGTACCAACCACTGCACGCCACTTCTAGTGTTACTGGCCACTTGGCCAACTTTTTGCATAAATAATCTCTGATTTTCACGCTACTGCAGAGAATGCAATGTTTTCTTACCGTAGCACGCTCTTCTCAGAGCCCATACAGATACAGTAGCTTAAGTTTTCAAGTGGCCATATACATCAAACCTGTCTTCAAGAGGTGTAGTAGTTTAACTTGTAGATATTGATGACCTATGGAGATAAAGACTGAGATAACCATAGCAAGATCTGCATCTCAATGACAATAGTGCACTTTTTAGTGATGTTGCCGTGATTTTGTAGTGAAGTCCATAGTATGGCAATGGGTTGATTTTCAGCATAAATTCATTTTGGAAAGGACTGCTGAGATTATAGAAGAGAGCATCTTAATATAACCACAAGGGGATTTCTAGTTCTTATTTCTCATCTTTTCCAAGAGAGAAAGAACACGTGCACAAAGTTGTATGAATATTTAAGCAGAGTTATGATGAGAGGAAGACAACTCATTAGAGAAAAGCGTTTGGCAAGCAAAAGTCTTAAAGATAAAATCTTCCAAAGGAAATCCATAAAATTAGGCAAGTATCGCAGAGAAACTTGGATTTTCCAAGTTAGACAAATCCCAGGAAGCCCAGCCATCATTTGTCTTTAATTTTTCAAGTGCTTTCAAATTTAAGAACTGCTAGCCTAGGCCACACGTACAAGAGCTAAACTGAGCGCTGCTTAGATACCGTGGCAGTCTCCCTTGATGACTCCACTCACCAAATGTGTACAGAGAGACCGTTTTAGTGTTCTTGTAAAATTAGGGTAGAACGCCTCTGGCAATACCCTTCCCACCAAAACTATGCATACCAAATGCACAAAGCAAACAATAGGAAAATAATGGCATAGAGCAGTATTTCCACAAGACAGCAAATTTTTAAGTAGAAAAATAAAAGTTCCCAATACAGAATACCTGCCTGTAAGTCAAAATTATTCATATACTTGAGCACTCTAGAAATTAATACACACTTGTGAGCATTCCAGTTTGCTTTTTTTTTAAAAAAAAAAAAAAAAGCACAATAGATAAGGTACTGCAGATTCAATTGCAAGCAGTGAACTATTTCACATAGACTTAAATGACAGGGAGCCTTTTATTCTAACTACTGCACCTGGATTCCAGCCAATCCCTCAATGAAACGTATAATTGGATAACTGCAGGTTATAGCATTAGTAGTATTCAAGCGCCTCTATTCTATTTAAAAAGGAAACAGTTTTCCTGACCTTTAAATCTAGCTACAAATAAAAGAGCAATTATTTCTCAATAAATCTGTGGAGAATTAAAAAAAAAAAAAAAAAAAGAAAAAAATCACAGTAGTTATTTTTCCTAGATTTCAAAAACTTTCCTAATTTAACGACTTCCCAAGCATCTGCCAAACCACCTTGTCTTCTTTGTCTACGCTTCAAACTGTGAGATTCCCAGAGGTGGGACTCTTTTTTTGTAAATTGGGGAGGGGGGGGGCTCTCCTGGAAGTGTAAACAGTGTAGCAGATTTTGCACCTAAAAAGCAAAAGAGAGAGATCCCATTTAAAGCTATGGTTTGAAAGCCATTCTAAGAAGTGAGACAAAGAGAAGAGGAGCATTCTCATATTAATTGTTGAAATTTTAACTTATTGAAATTACAAAAATTGAGCTGCAAACAACAGCCTCTCACCTATCCCTCCCCCACTGGGAGATAAAATTGCACTCTTTCTAGCCCATGAATTACTGGCATACTTTTTCGCACTTCTAAACTAGTCCTTGCTACTCTGATGACATGTTTAAGCAGCCCTTTCCTCTCTGATCTATGCAGCAGATAATTTTTGCACAGCCTGTTTTCACTCTGTGCTCAGCATGTCCACTGACTCTGCAGGAGTTCTGCTGGGGAAGTGAGAGGGAAAACATGCACTACAGATCCACAAAGCAGATACCAGCCATCGTCTGGCTTGGAAAAAAGCATTTGGCTGAGAATTTTTGTGGGGCGTTTTCCTCTTTTTTTTTTTCTTTTTTAAGATGAAGCTGGAAGTTTTTTGCACCCCTTGATAGAATTACTGTTATTTAAACTTGAATCCTGGATATACAAGAATAGCTTCACTCCTTTCACTCCTTTTATAATTGTTTTCTATTTTTGTTCAAAATTTTTCTTTTCTTTTCTTTTTTTTTTTTTCAATCAGGGCATTTAGTCTGTCACCTCTTTGAAATGGACCTTCAACTGCTTTAAATCTGCATAATAACTGTAAATCTGGACTGAACTTCTCATACCATTACAGTATACTGAAATCAAGACCATAGTTCTTTAAATCATCCTACTCAAATATATGTATTTATAGTATATATTATGATATATATTAATTTAATACATATAATTTATATATACTTTTACATATACACATATGGTTCATGAAAATTGACTCACACTTATTTCACCTCTTTCAGAGGAAAACACTATGGAGTTTGTAATTTAAAAGGACAAACCATGCAGCATCAAAACATACCCACTAGAGTAAATCAAGATCAACAGCTGAGCGCCGGCCACCATGAACACTGGCACTGTATGTATATTACTGAGGAGTCTCAGTGACAATGGCAGAATGGTTTTGTCGTATATGGCTCAGGAAATAGACACAAGCACACCAAAATCTCCTCTTCATGGGTATGTTGCTTTCACTAGTATTAAATTTTTGAACAAAATTATCTATCTTGTGCTGTAGAATCATAGTGGGAAATAAGATAAGGAGCACAAACCAGCACAAACCTACATGCCCACACAAAATTTCTTATTCCTCAATATGAAACAGATATTGAAGCACAAAAGTCAGAAGAATAACTTTAAAGGTCACTGTCTTGTGTTCTGCAGTGTTTTGGGATGAACAGAGCTAGGAAAGACTGTAAAGAAGTCAGTTGTCAGAATTTTTTACCAAATACAACTTATGCTGAATGAAGGTATATATTTTAGAAAACCTGTTTCCAAATCCTGAGTTAGGCTGCAAATGAAAAGTCATTTAAATATCTTAATCACCACTGCTGCAACACTCCCCGAGGAGAAGCTGCCGCATTCCAGTGCAGCTGGAATTCCAGTGGTGAGCTCAATGGAGGGGTTATTGCAGGTCACAACAGAGACACTGGAAAAACAAAGAAAAACCCAGGAATCCTCCTGGGCTCCACTCTCCTTTTACCCTGACATTGGTGATGTTTCAGCAAATGACCTTGTCACTATATTTTATGTAATATCTCCATTATTCTGTACCTCATACCAGTAAGCGTTTTCTTAAAAATAATTTTATTTCCTACAGTTTTACCTAAAACTCAAAATGAAGAAAGGAGGGGTCGAGTTGATATTTCACCTGCAACATCAAGCAAGAAATAAAATCTTCGCAAAGAATCTGTTAATTAAAATAATGCAGTAGAAACCAAGCACAGATAAATATTAGGTCACTAATTTTTGACGGAGTCTCTGAGTTCAGGTACTGACCCTGAGCACCTTTGGCATAGCATTTCACGAGCGCTGGGTCCCCGCTGTCTGCAGTGACTAGAGCTGGTGCAGGGTGCTCGGCACTTCCCAAGGCCTGAAGTAAAGCAATAGAGTCCCTGTGGGAATATACTCTTAAAGTCAATAGTCATTCAAACTTGCCTGCTTACTCCTAAAATGCCAGATGTGAATAAAAAGTTGTATTTGCGGCTTCAGGAATATTGTAAGGTTTAGTCAGCCACAGTCTCTTCCTTCAGGGTGCCAAGAAAAGCTTTTTTGTAACAGCGGAAGATTTAAGATAACAAAACATACCGCAAAAGTAAGAAATAATTATTATTTCTCTTAACACATATTATATTACATTACATATAAACTTGAAACAAAACTTATTTTTCTTCAAAAACTATATGAGCACTTTAACACTGTTTTTTGAGAAGGACTCTATAAAACATGAATTCCATGTGAAAATAACTGGACTGTGGAAAGATTACAGCCAGCGGACAGTCCTGCACAAATATCATATGGGCACAGAAAATGCTGTTGAAAAAACTTTGTCAGTATTGCTTTCATTATATTTATGGTAAAGAAATTATGACACAGGCTAAAATTTTTAAGGAAGATAAGACATACCCCTAGGTGAGGTGTGCAAAGCTCCATGAAATCCCACAGCATCCTTACAGCAATCCTACGCAGAGCAATGTGACTACGCAGAACACCCAGTATCCATGCTGTTGCAAAAGAAGTAAAAATATCAGAAAACAGAACAATAAATAGCACTTGCTTGTAACAAAAAAAGTGTCTCATTTACATTTATAACTAAAGGAAAGTAGGTTAGATTCTGACCTCTGTTATATCCACATGATTACCACTTCCTCAGGAGTGTACATCCGCTCAGACTGGCAACTCTGCAAAAGAGATTAAAATCTGGGACAATATGTGCATTAATTTAAACATTCAGCTTAGTTCAAGTAAGCCCTATGCCATAACACCACCATTGTATAGTTAACATTGTATCCATACATCTTTTCTTGTTAAATGTTAAATGGCTAGTATAGTATCTGAGAACGAATTTGTCCTTTTAGCTTGTGTCAAAAGAGAGCTTGGCAGTGGGAAAATCTATTGAGTTTTCTTTGCTAGAATGGCTTCCCCCCTCCCCAAAAAAAAAAAAACAAAACAAAACCAAGACTTTAGAAGGGAACCATATTTTTTAAATCATTTCTTTGTATTCTGACACTACAGTGCATGAAGTGAAAAAGTAAGCATCAGCTCAGTAAATATGTAGAAAATTGAGGAGAAACAGTAGTTAAAGGGTAGACAAGCAAAAACTTGTAATGAATTTTTACTATTATCTCAAACACAAAACAGCTATACTACCCTCCCCCCAGCTAGCCATTACTATAAGGTTGCACAATCCAGTAACTGCTAGGGCAAACTTCAGAACTCCTTCACTTTTATTCGCACCGAGCCTTCACAAGGGACTGCGATCTTTCATCACTTAGTTATGCTTCTTAACCAGAGGATAAGATGGTTTGCTATATGGTTATGCTCTTCGCAGGATCAAGAATCGGACACGGCTGAGCAGCCTGGTGCGGATGTTCTGATGCAGCAGAAGACTTGTGCGAGTCTCTCCCTTCGATCAAACCAGGAGTCCAGCAGACAGTCCCAGGGCAGAAGATGGAGTACTTATTTGGGTCCTTCACCAAGTCAGGGCTCACCGAGTCAGGCTGCAAGCTCCAGCAAACCGTGCTGGGATAACGGAGGCCAGGTTTTAGCTAACTACGTGAAAAAAGTGGATTGTGTGTGAAGAAGGAAAGATAAAATTCTTATATACATTTCACATCAGTTCCAATAAAGTCTCAGTAGCAGAAATGGAACTTCACAAGTTGCATTTTGTATTTTTCATGAACAAAGACACAGACATCTATCAGACACACAGCTACACAAATGAGTATACATTTATTTAGTAGATAGAACACTCCCAGAAAATTCAATTAAGTGCAAGAGTTTATTTTGAAATCAAACCACAACCATATATGATAATGATAATAATAATTATCTCTTAAGAATAAATCACCTCATGGAACAGCTTTCAATGATGATAATTCATTCCCTTCAGAGTGTCTGAAAAACAAACTTTTAGAAAAAAGATTGTGTAAAGAAGCATATAATCAATCTCCTCTCAACTTTCAATCTTCATGTCATCTACAAAAAAGAAAAGAATCATATGCTGAACTGCTGCAAACACAATATTATTTGCAAGAGGAAAAAGCAACAGTAGTTTATGATATAACTTTTGCTTAAAACTTAATATAGACAAAAAAAAGAAAAAAGAGCTGGAAATAATTACAAATTGGCTCATACAACTGAGAAATAAGAAGCTTTTCATATCTGTCTGTGGGTAAGTCTGGCTTCTATTTATCTCAGTAAACATCACCTATATTACATGCATATGACCCTGATGCAAATTACTGCTTCTTTCAAGAAGCAGGAATTACTTATTTCTGAAGGCACGTGAGTTTCCTTCAGATAGATATACACAAATATCTATATATATGAATGATGTTAATAATTATGCTTTCCTTAAATAATGTATTACAGTAAATCTATATCACAGACTACAGTACCATAATGACTGTGAAACCGAAATTCTGCTAAACCAGTTTCACACAATTTTGTTTGCTTACACAGCACTACACAGAGTTTAAACCATGTGTAGCAGCCCAGAAAATCAAACTGTTTACAGAAGTTTATGCATATATGTTTAAATGTCCTTTAGAACTAAGACCATAATGAAGCTTAACTACGTAATTGTCTCTTAAAAATAAAAATACACCTGGCACCTTCATCTGCAGGGGTATTTGCCTTAAACTGGACTCCACTGGGATCTCTATTCCTCCATGCAATTGGCACATCTAATCATGTCTAAACTAACAAGAAGCTTAATGATAGAATACATTAGGCAACTTTACAAATTTGATAACAATCACAGCTTTTTGCTTATGGCCAGGAATTATTGCTTAAGACAGAACTGAGTCACCTTTGCAGGAAATAAATTAATTCCATGGAAAGGTATCAGAGGTTTCCAGTTTATGCTGTACACTTTCTCATAAGCAGTACTTTGACAAAAATAATACAAATGGATTGCTGTCTATTTAAATGCTAATTTTGGATGTATGTTTTAGCACTAGAGTAATATTAATGGAATACAATAAATCTGAATATAATTAATTTAAACTTATGGATAACTGCAAAATACTTGGCCCTAATGTAAAAACAATTACAAACCACTGAAGTGGTTTTATTTTGCACTTATTTTTCTTGTGCCTAAAGATTACCTGTTCACACCATTTTAAAAATGAGACACTGACACAAAGACTCAAAGCCAGATGAGGTAATGATATCTGTAATGATATCCTTGCTATTGTTTTTAGGTTTTTAGTAAAAATGAAAAGATTTAGAGACCCTGGTAATTCAGAACACCACCACCACCACCCCACCCCACCCCCCCCAAAAAAATTGGGTAAGCAAAATGACCATAAAACCAAGATGTTTATTAACCACACAGATTTTAGATCTATGGTTGAACATTACTAAGCCACTACTGAAAACAGATAATCGTAACACCCTATTGCATTTCTCTGACACGAGAGATTATGATTATGACCGATTATGACTCAAAGGTATTTAAATTATTATGTGATAAATACTAACACATTCACTTAAAGACTTTTACCATGAGAGGTCCCATACGGAAATTTACTTAATACCTGAAATCTCCGTTCTCTCTTGTGCAATAAAATTACCTCATAGTGACCATGTCTAGTGCAACAGGTATAAACGGTTAGCTGCTCACTTCACTACACAGTGGCTGCAGTGCATGGTCTTTTGCTTGATTTAACACATCCCATCTTAAAATACACTAAAAAAGAGAGATGGTAGCTGGGGCTGAATCACACTTGACTGTACTACATCTATTCAGGCTAAAGGAGAACGTCAATTCACGTGAAGGCAGCAAAACTTGAGTTCTCTTCACTGTTGGTTGCTGAAAAAGACTGGTGGTGCAGTATGTAGTCATGTTCAACCTGCATGAGATCAGGTTGCCCCTGGCAGAGGTGGTTCTCTGCGGTGTTCCCCATCACCACCACTGCCAGCCCACTCTCCTCTGGGGCAGACCACTTCCTTCTTCCCTTGCTCCACTCTTCTGATGCTTGCAGCTACGTGAAGAGCAAAGCTGGCATGTGAAGTTAGCTGAAAACTAACTTACAAAAAAAAACAAAAAACAAAAAACTAAACTACAAACTTTTGTACAGGTATTGTATTTCAATTTTCTTCCTATTGGAACTATGGCCTAAATCTCATAATGGGCAAATAGGGCAGGTGAGTCTGGATACCGAGTTTGTCTGGCAGTGTAAAAACAGCAATAACAAGGCTTTCTGATAGGTGGAATCCCTTTAAAAAATATTAACGTTCCCTTCACTGTAGAAAGGTTAAGTGCGAACAATCAAAGAAACAGTTGTGATCATAATTAAGAAATGATAACACAGTTAAGAGGTATTAGAATGTTCTTCTAAATTACCAATGAATGTGAAAGATGTTTCTCCAAATTCAGAATAGATTACCAGTATAACAAACATCTATCTTGACAAACCTAGAAAAATGTATTGATTTCTAATATAAGTAAACTATAGCACTTTAATCACAAACAACTTCATACTGTCACAACTTTTATAAAAGAAGTCTATGTACCTGCCTAAAATCAGGTTTATTTGAACAGTTCGCTCTCCAGAAAGAGAAGTGGTCTTAGGCTAAAAATGTAAGTGTGGATTTAGATTACAATATCACCATACAATTGCATTTAAGTAAAGAACACTGATTTTTACAATACCAGATAGGGTAAGTTAAATTTTGTGCTGGTTAAACTATTCTTTCTTTTACTGAACTAAAAGTAATTTATAGAAATTATGCAGTATTTATTCAATTTGTTATCTTCTATGTGTAAATTTGAATTCCCTGAAAGCAATTTATTATTTTAAATATAGCTAGGTCATGTTTGTTTCTATACTACCGAGTTTACCTTATTAAAAACATTCAAGAAACACTTAGATTTTTGTGTGAATTGTTATACCAACTACTGGGAGAATATTTCCTTTCCATAGAACAGTGGACATGACTTTCTACTACCAAAAAGATAATCCATATGTGTTGTCAACTCTGTTTTCCAGTTGACAGAATCAATCAACATCAATACTATATTTCATAAGAGTCCTAGCCTTATATTCAATTATGTCAGGGCAAGAATTTTAATAAACATTCTGTTATTTTGTGTGTATTATTTTTGGCACGGTTTTATGTTTTATAAAAGTACATCCTTTCCCCACCATAATCATCAGTGTGTATTGGTGCATACCTTTGGTGAGAACCTGCTTGGTTTTTTTCATCATAATCAAAAGCCTATTCTAAAGGGTTGTTAAGAGTCTCACCTCCTTTGGTTTGCAGTGGTATGCTGAGAATGTCAGCCTCTGTGGATGGCTCATTGTTCACGCTGATGCAATATAATGGTTCACCCAAGAAAGAAGGTTTCTTCAACCTTTTTGTGTTGAGTGCTCTTGACATAAAGTAACCTTCAGTAATACTCTTATCTCCCATCTTCTGTAAACCTTCTAGGTCATCAGGTTCCTCTGTTTGGGCCAGTGAATCCTTTGATAAGTGACTATCAGCCAATGCTTTGCTGATATAGTAACCAGGGATTTCACTCTCTGCATTAACACTTAAGCTTTTGTCTTCGAGTCCAGCCTTTTCCTGAGCCCTTAACATCCCTACAATATGGTCTTCAACTAACATTTTGGAAAGAGTAGATGCGGAGTGAAGAGCGGAGTCTTGACTTGTGTAACAAGGGGGACTTAATCCACAAGAAAGAGATTCCTGAGACTTTGGCATGGAAACGTTGCTTATTGTTCTCTGAGGCTGCATACATTCTTCCAGAAGGGTCTTAAGCTGCTCTTCAGAGAGGCCCATTTGTTCTTCAGTCTGAAAAAAAAGGGCAAGAATTTCTTCTGTCAAAATATAATTAATGAAGAACAGCACCATAAAACAGTTCGAGGGATACAAAAGCACTGGCAGAACTCTTAAACTGATATCAGTGTTTTTCAATTCAAACTTATTCAAATTTAAACATACATTTGGATAATTACATCATTTATGTCACATCTTCACTAGGTTCTAGATAGATTAGATGCTGAAAGTTAGGAAAGAAGTCTGATGTTCACAAGGCACTGAGAGGCCTTTGATTTTGCTTAGTCTTCCCCTAGATATCACTGCTTTTTAACTACCAAAGCATGTACTTTTTCATATATCTTGGTTTGTTGTGAATACATACAGATACACACTTTAAGATTGTGGTTATGGAAAAGAAAACAGCACATTGCTAAAAGACTTTCAGCTGTTGGGGTGATGCAGCTGGGGTCAAAAATGGTTTTGGACAGCACCAGCCCACAAAGTCACATACTGACTGAAGTATCCCTGACTGCTCACTGTAGAAATGCAACGTAGCCTCTCAACCATATGACAAAAAGCACATCAGTTACTCATCTACAGGACCTACCACGTCAAGTATGTCCCATGGCATGTGACAGAAGAAAACCCCATCTTCTGTACAACAGTTTTGCTGCTTTCTACAAGCTGTCACTGCTTGGATAGCTCACAGATGTATCTTTTCAGTCAATTACTTTTTCAGATGGTGGCACACTTCCACCATTTTTATCACTCACGTTTCCTTTACTGGACATTTCTTAAAATTTTATATTAAATATAATGACTGATAGTAGCTGGTAACGGTGAAGAATAGCAAAGGATATTTTGCTTAGAAAGGTTTGCAATGAGAAGTTACTTCTGGCCTTTACAATCCTTAATGCTCCTTGGTAATAGAGAAGCACAATATCCCCCAACAATTTAAAGATTATAATGCAAAGTACAAGACATATTTTGGATATGCATAATACATTTGCCCATGAAATACGAGATATAGAAGATATAATATTATATATTATAAATGTTACAGATACTATGCGACATTTAATGGAAGAAGATGCTTTCTACAATCAAAACTCCAGTTTTACCCAACCTCCAATAGGCAAAGGATCAGATAACAATCATCTGATGAACTCCCTAAAGCTGCAGTGATTTATGTCAAACAATGATTTTATTCACTGTGTAATGACTATTACACAGAATTTATTTTACATTGTGCTAGAGCATGGAGCTACTGTCATTTCAGAGGAAAGACCAATATCAGATGTCTAGCTGATTTTTTTTTCCCTGAAGGTCTCTTATCCAACTACAGCAGTGATATGACCCTGTTTGACGTATATGACATGATTAGATCACAGCCTAAGTAGCACAGGGTGTATGGATTATGCCTGAAAACTGATTATTCATGTTCATGAAAGGGGACAGTTTTCAGTCAGGAAGGTAATAGTATTTCTTTGTAAACCTTGTGGCTGCTAAAAATTACAAGGTGACACTACAAAGTGAACCAGACAGACATTCTAGGTTACTTTCAGTCACCATTCTGTATTTACACATTCAAACATCAATAATAGTAAATAGCTGCTACTATAGATTGTACTACTACTACTTTACAGTTCAGGCACAGCTGATGTACTTAAACTCAGTTTTATAGATTTATTCCACCCACTAGTCTTTTCCTGCACAGACCAATTTTCTTCCCAAAGACACTCCGAGTTCACTTCCTACACACACAAAAGAAGACAACTGCATTAAAGAAATTGAGATGTTAAGTGCTTTTAAACAAAAATAAAAAAGAGCATCGACAGACTATCATGTGTAGACAGCTTTATTTAGATGAACATAAAATCAGGTAATTATTGAGATTCAGCTAATCTTGGTATCAATCAATGTACTTTTGATAATACAACTGAAATCAAACCACAACTTTAAGCGCTTATTTAGATAACAAAGAAAAAATTATGACCTCTTCAAACTTTACCCAGGCTTTTAAATTTTAATCATAGTGCAGAAAGTACTCACTGATGAAAAATAAATCAGACAGGGAAAAACAATTAGTAGCAGAACACATGACAAATCAAAAATAAAACATGGAATTGTTCGAATTTTCACTCTCAAGCTAATAAACTAGCCCATGCTGAACTCCTTACATTTCTTGAAGGAGTATTTTAACTTGCAGGACAATTTCTGTTCACTAGTGGTCATTATTAGAATGGACTCACTATAAGAAACAAGATGCATTCACTCAGGTAGGGCACCTCAGTAACGTAGTTATACCACCACTGGAAGCACAGCTGCATCTAGAGTGTATCCACAGAGCACAATGTTATGCTACGTAAACATAACTATATTTGTATCACAGAAGATTCTCACATCTGGAAGCCCGCATGCATTCCCACATGTTTTTGAGTGTGTGGTTCTATACTAACATACTTCAAAGCTCTTGGCCAAGATCATTTGGAGCTAATTTTATGTTAATGACAGGGCAATTCACTCACTGCAGAAAGGAATTCTGCATCTGGTGTAAATGACTGTCTGAGTACAAAATGAACATAGTTAGGAAGATCATCTTGTCCTGCCTTTCTTTTGTCCTTTTATTCCCCCCATCCCCACCCTATTTCTCTGCAATCTACTTTTCCTTGTCCAAATTTAATTTTTTTTCCTTTTTCTTTCAGGAAAATCATATGGCTTGTGTTGACAATTAGTTCATAGACTACCTTGATTGTTACCAGAGGGCTAGGTGGGGAGATTTAGAGCCTAAGGTGAACAGGGAGGGAAATGAGTATAATAGCTATAGAGTGAAAAAGTTTGGTAACTTGTGGGCTTGTTTTCCTCCAGAATGGCAGACCTGCAAGCAAAGTAGACAGTGTAAAACATTACTTATTTTTGTTCTGTCTTTGCCTCTTCCTCCGTTTGGATTGTTTTGTAAGACATGCTTGCAAGGATGCAAAGATAAGGACAGAGAAAGTATTTAACATACCTCTCAAAAAATTACATTTTAAAATACTAAAGTCTCACTGTTCACAATTTTCTTGTGCCAAAGTCATTTTAGGGTTAAGGAAAAATATACACTAGAGGAGAAGATAGCTCTTAAATCGCCATCAGTCATCCACTCAGCAGCAAGAAATTTCCATTGAAATGAAAGCAGAAAGGCTGCTGTTGAAAGCAGAAAACTGAGTTTAGGGAAACAGGTAATACCCTGAGAAGAGACACCTCACACCAAAAAAGGCTGTGCATTTGCAACCAAATGAGCACTTTAACTCATGGGAGTGCATAATACAGCAACTGTAGTACCAGTTTGCAAAGTATACATTTGCACACACCAGAAGAAATCCCATCACAGCTAACTGGACTAGTTTAGAGTCACAAGATCTGGAATCTGTAACACAGCCTTAGGGAGACACTAGATTTTACCTCTCCCAAGCCTTCACTGCCCTCACTGTAAATAATTTACAACTCCTATACAGAAAAAATACTTCACAATATTTCTTTAAAAATACAAGGATCTAAAATGAACGTAATTCAAAATGCAGAAACAGCCCACTAGACAAGGGAAAATGAGCTATTAGGCCTGGTTCCCATTAGAAATTGGAAAACCTTTTAATTGTTCTGGCTAATTTTTAATAGGACACTGAGTCCTATTCATTTCCTAGGCTTTTTACCGTTAATGATCCAAAAACCTAATTTCTAGCCAGGAGTTTAGGAGCCTGCTAATGACCTTTACTGTTTATGTGTGGCTAGGTTTTCACACACTTGTGGCCCTTCTCTGACTGAGGATTTCTTGTTCCTTGCTGAATTCCTCTGTGACATGGGTCTATAGAGAAAACCTTACTGCATGTGGTAGGAATGCAAACTTGTGGCGTGCTGTGGACAGACCTGCTGTGACTACGGGCTTGCAAGTTCAAAGCTTTTGGCTTCTTTTCCACAGTCACAGAAACAGACTAACACTGAAAGGCCTTATCAGATTTTAGCATGGGGAGAAAGCTAATATGTCAGGATTATTTCTAATTATAGTAAATAATCATAAAATGACACACAGTAAATGAATAAGCACTAGAAAGCCAGGACTATTTAAGGCATGTAGCTGGCATGTCTATAAACATGTATATTTTGTTGCTTAATCTGAAAGTATTACAATCAATGGTTCTCATGATACTTTATTTACCTGAAACAATTTACTTTGATGCTCTAATTTACTTAGATTTTTAGCAAGGTGTAGGATTGCAACAGTCAGTACTAAAGTAACTGCTCTCTTCCTGATCTAAAGCCTCCATTTTAAGAGTACACTGATGTATTGAGACAACATTCAGATTTTTGACATATCAGCACAGGAAGGTTTTGTAAGTTTTAGTTATCTCATGACTTATTAATAGTTTCTTAGACAGCTCTGTCCTGGATTGAAAAAGCAATCCTTGCCTTGTATCTCCACACTACTCAACTCAACGTGCACCATCAACTCCAAGGTCCCACTTTTATGCATTACACTCTTGTCTACGAACAGTACTGGTCAGTGCTATGTGGAATATTATTAGTATGCCGCATACAGAACCAGATACTTCATGTCATTGTGGAAGAGCTTCTTACAATTTCCAGAAATGCTAAAAGCCCAAAGTTCTTTTCAATCACAGATGCCAGGATTGGTGTCCACAACTTGTAAACTAATGTAAATTATGGGAATATGTCCTTATGAGACTGTTGTGGGTTAACCCCAGTAGGCAGCTAAGCACTACACAGCTGCTTGCTCTCCCTCCCTGCCCCAGTGGGACAGGGGAAAAAGAAAGAAGGAGTAAAAGCAATAAATTTGTGGATTGAGATAAAAATTGTTTAATAAGCAAAGGAGAAGGGAAAGAAGATAGAAAGAAATCAAAACGTGACGCAAAGGCAATCACTCACAACCTCCCATGGGTGGACCAATGCCCAGCCAGTTCCCGAGCAAAAGATGGGTAACTTTCCAGAATGCCCTCTTTTCCCTTTTCATTGCTGTGCATGATGTTACATGGCAG